GAGAGAGAGAGAGAGACCTCAACGAGAGTATCATGTATTGCATTGACACCAAAAGAAAAGTAAATTGCAGTAAAAGATTGTTATTCAAGGAAAGCAGCTGATATCTGTAAGTCAAAACAACTCCCACTCAAATGGCACAGATATACATTTTTTTCTTGATGATTGACAGGATTTCACTGTGAAAGCAGCTTCGAATCACAAGCAACTATTTTCACCTTCCCCACATTTTCCTGGCATTCCTCATTCTTGAAGGAAGCGCCTTGTAAAATGAAGGTCCAGACATTGTCACAGAACCTGTATGTGTGAAGATGCCCCTGTCAACACAAAAAAACAACACAATTCCCTCATCAGGACCGATAACCATCAAAATAGAGAAAAGGCAGACCTTATTTCCTTGTGAACCCCTAGAACATATGGCACAGGAGTTCCTTAAAAAATGGCTCATATTTTTCCATAAACAGAGAAACCAAGCTCTGATATCCTTCTGACCTTTAAATCACTCTAAAATAATAACCAATATCTTCCATGAACAGACATGGATTTTGTCTACCATATATCAAATGGTGCATGAGGAATAAAATGATCCTCACACACACAAATGCCTCAGTGGATGCATGAAGCAAGCCGACTAGGTCATGTTATTCAGATGAGTCAACTCACCGTGGTTTTAGTTGACACACCATTCGGTGAATCAACCACATCTAAACATTATGTGAAATATGTGGCTTTCCATTTTACTAAAAGTAGACAAGTCAGTTGGTCTTTACATTCTCGGTGAACCACTTGTGTAAGAAGCATACTCAGCGAGTCAGATGTGTTGAGTGATATAATTGCAAATAAGATAAGTATTGAATTCGTGTGTGTATGTGCAAACACATGCTTCACCTTGCTGTCTCATGTTCTGGGTATTTGAAGAAGATCTGCTATGGAGACCAAATCAAAGAACTACTTCAAAACGCTAAAACCAGTGTTTCAAGACCCGGATTGGTGGGATGCATCGCTCACCCCACAAATCCCTGTCAAGTTGTTGGATAGGGGATCAAGAACGGTGCAAATCAGTGATCCAGAAAAAATTAAAAATTAATAAAATAAAATAAAAATAAAATTTAATTAGATAAGCGTTAAAAAAAATAAAAAAGAAAATATGAAAGGGGGGAGGAGATTTCTAAGGTGAACTAGGCCGGGACCCACACCATCCTGGAACTGGTTCAATTCCGACCGATTCCCCATCCAGATTGAGAATCATTGGGTTTTAAAACATTGGCTAAAACAAAATATTTAAGTGGATAAAAACATCCAAGAAAATGAACAATTAATTTAACATAGTAGCATAAGAACTCACACTACAGAGTTTACAAATCATAAAGGGCACAAGACTTTGGCTGCATACACAACTTAGTAACTCACAATCAATGCAAACTCTGAATGTGTGAATTCCCCAATTACTTCAAGAAGACAAATATGCCCAACAACTGGAGGCAGAACACACGCTGTACGAGATTGACCCCCCAGACTTCTCCAAATTAGCTTCCCAAGTAATGAAAGAGCCAAGAGAGAAAAATAATAAAGAGCTTCTTTTCGGATGAAACAGCCGTCAACAAGTTAATCAAAACATTGGTAAAATCACTAGATCTAATGGCTAAGATAAAGATCAACGATGTGGTGAGTCCACCAAAGATTCGCGTAAGAGATGACTTGGAGAAATGAATCATCAAGAAACACAGCTCCATTCTTGCAATACTCAGTTGAGAATATTTATTCAGAAGACCCAACAGAGCCTTTTCTTTTTTTCTTTGGTTTATAACTTTTAAATAATGCATTATTGATACCCCTAGTTGCACATGAGTGCAGAGAGAGAGAGAGAGATCAAATGTTGCTTCTAGAGAAGTTCAAGAAAACAAACTAAAATAATGGAAAAGTTACTAAGGGCTAAAACGATAAGATTGAGGAGAAGAGAGTATCCATTAGATAGGCTAGACATGCTCCCATTCTCTATAGCTGTTTGATCTAAATATCCATCAGCTTCTCCCCGAATATGAAAGAAAGAAATATCAGTGCATATTTGACAAAACATAAAAACCAATCCACTTCCTCCCCACCCACACCCCCTTCCCCCCCCCCAAAAAAAAAAAGAATGTACATAGTCATCTGCTAAATTTCCATGAACTCCATAAAATTTAACAGCCATTTTGGCCTGGTGATAAGCCCTCAATGACAACCCACTAGAACTCAATGAAATTTTGACATGGCTAACTGAAACTATCACTGAAAGTTTATGTCATGCCAAAGCTCCTTCCCTCTCTCTTAAACCCCCCTATTCTTTCTCGCTCTAAAGTCCCCTTCTCTTGTCTTGCACTCTAAAGCCTTCTCCCTCTGAGATCCCCTTTTCTTTCTCACCATAAAGTACCATTCTCTTTCTCACTCTAGATGATGGTCTCTCCCTATATCAATGAGAGGGTAAATTGGGTTGGCAGGCTACTACTAGGAGTGGGATGAGAACCATCCAAAGCACTTTGTGGGGCATGGGCATTCAGCTGGCCTCATCAGTCTCAAACCTCATACCTGCATCTACCCATACACCAACTAAAGCAGTGGCAATTACAAAGACCAGAGATTAAGGTCTTGACCTTCCTTAAAGGATGATAAATTAGTTGTGTGATCAGTTAGTTTTGGCTCTGACGAAGTATGATGAAGGAACAGAGGATCAGGTTTTTCGGGCTTCTTGAGTTTTCCGTCACTTGCGCAGATAATTTGATCATAAGTCTATCAGGTGGATGGGGAGGCAGGAGAGTTGCAGAGGGGGTCCCTAGGGCTTTAGAATTAGTTGAGAGGATCCTGGCTTGGAAGAAGAGGTAATTAGGCATGGGAGATGGACACGGCATAGAACCTTGTAAGCCATTAATGGATTTTCTTCAAAGGTTTCTCTGTCGGAATTTAGGAGATAGCTCATAGATATTAAAGCTTGAATGCCTTTAATGGAGTGTTTTGATTTCTTTATCTAAATTTAGGAGATTACCAATAATGGAGTCACTCTGGTTTGGTAATTTCTTAACAAGCATTTCTAGAGAGCTAAATGACTCAGCCACTCTTCAAACTATCGCTGACAACACAATGGTTCTTTCAATTCTATTTGAATTACCGCAAAACAGAGATGAGGCCAGGACTCAAAGCATTTTTAGAGAGAGGATCTCTTATGGGGTCGGGTTTTTGAGAGAGGTTTTGAAGCAATTCTAGAGAGAGGATCTCTTATCACATTGGGTTTTTGAGAGAGAGAGAGAGAGAGAGAGAGAGAGAGAGAGAGAGAGAGAGAGAGAGAGAGAGAGAGAGAG